TTGTTTTCTATATTGAGCTGTATGATCTGTTTGTATATTTTGGAAATTAAGCCCTGTTGGTCACATCATTTGCAAATAATCTCTCCCATTCTGTAGGTTGTCTTTTCATTTTGTTTATGGTTTTCTTTGCTGTGCAAAAGTTTCAAGTTTCATTAGGTCCCATTTGTTTATTTTTGTTTTCATTTCCATTACTCTAGGAGACAGATTCAAAAATTATTGCTGCAATTTATGTCAAAGAGTGTTCTGCCTATGTTTTCCTCTAGGAGTTTTATAGTATCTGGTCTTACGTTTAGGTCTTTAATCCATTTTGAGTTTATTTTTGTGTATGGTGTTAGAGAATGTTCTAATTTCATTCTTTTACATGTAGCTGTCCAGTTTTCCCAACACCACTTATTGAAGAGACTTTTTTCCATTGTATATTCTTGCCTCCTTTGTTGAAGATTGACTGTAGGTGTGTGGGCTTATTTCTGGGCTCTCTATTTCATTGATCCATATGTCTGTTTTTGTGCCAATACCATGCTGTTTTGATTACTGTAGCTTTGTAGTATTGTCTGAAGTCTGGGAGGGTTACGCCTCCAGCTTTGTTCTTTTTCCTCAGGATTGCTTTGGCAGTTCTGGGTCTTTTGTGGTTCCATATAAATTTTAGCGTTATTTGTTCTAGTTCTTTGAAAAATGTCATGGGTAATTTGATAGGGATAACATTAAATCTGTAGATTGCTTTGGGTAGTATGGCCATTTTAATAATGTTAATTCTTCTAATCCAGAACATCGTCCAGTAATTTTAAACATCTATTAATGGCCCTTGCCTGAATGAATTATTACATTGGTAATAATTTCATTATTCCCTCTCTATATATATTAGCTGCCATTTTTTTGATAAAGAACTTGCCTTGTCCCTAACACATACTTCTTTTTAAAAAAATGTCCTCAGTAGATTTCATTTTATTCTAATATATTATTTATTACTGTTATTATTTATTTTTAAATCTGAAATTTGGCCAATGGGAAACCCCACAAAGTGGCTCCTATGCCTTTGGAGACAATGACCTTTCGTCCAAGGACATAGCCAGCCTGAGAAGACTCTAGAGGGAGGGAGCCAGGAAGATACATAACCATTCCTTCCTCTGACTTCCTGCTGGAAGTCGAAGCTTGACTGAAGTGCCTTGATGTAGTTCATATAGGTCAGTTTTCCAAGTACAGAGAGCAGTACGGAGAAAGGTAGAGAGTGAGTCCAAAGGGACAAACAAGATATCTGGCAAATGTATGCATATATAGAGTCATGGACCCCTTGAAATCACTATGTAAACCAGAGGTTTGAAACCTCTGTGTTAATTAATTCCTTTTGCTAGTAGATCTACTGAGTGCTAGCAGTGTATGTGGTTTATTTGTCTTATATGAATGTTACTTTCTACTCTGAGATTTCTCTTAAAAAAAGATTCATCAGCTCTTATTCTCAATTTCAGTATTTCTCAACAGTGCTCCTCATTGCACTTTTAAATATAAGACCAAGTAGTCTTGATCCTCAGAGTCCTCTATAAATAGATCCATCGCTCTTTTCATCTAGGAGATTAAGATCCAAAATAGTTTCATACACTTCAGACACCATTCTGTGGCTAATATCTCTAGGGAAGAAACAATGTCTGTTAACTTCTTTCTTCTGATCACTCATCTGTTTTATTATTTTATGAGACAGTTTCATCACAAACATTGTATTTGGGATTGAGCATTTACTGAGTAATAAAAAAAGGCTTTATGGCCCCAATTACTTCTGAATGGGAGTTAATTACAGGGCCTCTCAGTGAATCAGAACCATTGTATTGTTATAGCATCTTTGTATTTCTTTAGTATGTTTTTTAGCCAAATGCATAATCTATTGCATAATCCAAATTATTTAAATTTTGGTAGATTGCTATTAATCTCCCCTCTAAATTTCACCTTTTATCTGTGTTAACAATATCTTGCTGAGTGCCACATGTTTCTTCTTGTTTGATAATATATCCCCTCTCTAACATCAGGTTAGCTCATTTTTATTTTAGTTTTTAAATGTAATATTCATTTCACTACTTTTTAGGATTTGTTTTCATAGATCACATTTTCAAAGCTAAGCTTTCAGACTTAACCCCTACTTTTTTCCCTAGTTTTATAGTGGGAGCAAGGTAGTGTTTACACAACCTAGTTAACGTTACAAATAATGTTCTATTATTGTTATTCCTCTTCAATCTTTTCTGAATTAATTGAGCCTCAGTTATGAAGTGTTTTTAAATATCACTTCTTATTTATTAAATTCTAAATATCAATAGTTTTTAAAGTGCATCAGTTATTACTGTAAGCCAGATTCCTAAGATGGAATATTTCATATTACTTAAAAGATTTAATGAGAACACTTTTTAATATGTTACTGACAGTTTTTTTCTTTCTTCAGTGAGTATGACATTAACGTGTCTCCTCATTAACCAAAAATCTCAGTGGTCTTCTGATAATCATTTTGAACCTTATAACTATTTTTATCATACTGAAGATGTTGAAATTATAGGAGATTTGGGTTCAATATTTATTCATTAATTCAGTCAGGCAAGCATTCTTTGTAGGCCCTAAGGACCCAAAGATGAATGCTGCATAGTCACTGCCCACAGACATATAAGCAAATATAGTATGTAATAAGGGAAAAGATATGAATAATACAGTGTGGTAAGTATTATAATCAATGTATGCTTAAGGTAGGAGAGTGGCACAAATCATAAGTAACATTTCTTGGGGTGGTGCCAGAGAAGACTTGTTAGGGGAGAAGACATAATAAATGTTTAATAGGTGAATAAACACTAATAAGTAATAAAACACTAATAAAGGATATAGTTCTATGCTGTGGGCTCTAAAATTCTATTGTTGGGAATTCCCTGGTGGTCCAGTGGTTAGGACTCCATGCTTTCACTGCCGAGGGCCTGGGTTCAATCCCTGGTTGGGGAACTAAGATCCTGCAAGCCATGTGGTGCAGCCAAAAAAATAAAATTCTATTATTTTATTTAAACATAAGTTAGGGAGAAACTTAGACACTTGAAAATGCAACTAATGTTATGAGGTTATATAGCACATGCTGATTGCCAAGTGAATGATATAGTAACTAGAATTTATTGATATATTCTGCTACACAGACTATATATCTGATTACATGTAATCCTCACTAACTCTCTGAGATAGGTACTGATACTAAGGCCATTTTACAGGGAAAGGCACTTGAGGTTTACAGAGGTAAAATAACCTCCTAAGGTCACACAGCTAAAATGTGGTGGAGCCAGGATACCTGCTCAAGACAAGATCAGCTTTAGAAACAGTGTTCTTAATCATTAAAAAATGAACATAAGCAACCATAGGAACCCGGAGGAGAAGGAAAAACTTGCCTGTTGAGAGCATTTGGAGAAGAGTTACAAATTAGATACATGATGGGTATCATGATGGGTATATTCCAGGCATGGGTATTGGCATACATAAGTGTTGGTTGGGCAGTATACCCTAAGTAAACTGGACCAGTATGATGGAGTAGTTCATTCATGTAAGAGCATCAGGGAAGATCAGGTTGGAATCTGAGGATGGAATGGGAGCCATCTGTCAAAGATCCTGAAAATGAGTAATCTGTACTTGATCTGATAGAGAACGATTGAGGTTATGGGAGCAAGGGAGTAATATGGAAGTCAGTGTAACATAATGGTTAAGTTCTTGAGTATCACTTTCCAATTTTGTGATGTTTAGCATGCAAGTTTACTACTCTTAGGTTCCTTTGTCTTATCTATAAAATGGTGATGGTAATACTATCTATTCCTATAGTATAGATAGTAATAGTATCTAATACTATCTATTCCTTTGTCTTATCTATAAAATGATAATGGTGATACTATTACTATAGTATAAATAGTAATAGTATCTAATACTATCTATTCCTTTGTCTTATCTATAAAATGATAATGGTAATACTATCTATTACTATAGTATAGATAGTAATAGTATCTAATACTATCCATTAGTATAGTAATAGTATCTAATACTATCTATTACTATACTATTAATTACAAATTAATACAGAGATTAATTTGTAAAACCTGACATATCCAAGCATTGAGCAAATGTTACATATTATTATTGTTGTTGATGTGTTTTAGTAAATTTAATCTGAGAACAGTGCATAGGAGTCTAGGCCTAAGCCTTAGTTGAGAAACGCTTGAAACATAGTTTTAGCAGGTAAATGGAAAGGAAGGGACAAACACTAGGACTGTTTTAGATGAGTAATATCAGTATGTTAAGGTATATAGCTTTCTAAAAATACATGTTTCTTTGTGCTGTTTCATAATATTCATGTGTTCATTGTTATATCAATAGTTAATAACTGAAAACTGAATGTAACTTTATAATTTACAAAGCCACTTTGACATGTTATTGAATTTGATTCTCAGAACCATTCTGTGAGATACTATTATTTCCATTTTATTAAGGCCCAGAGAGGTTAAGTGATTCATTGAAGATCATGCAAATTAATAAAGGAAGCAGTTTAAAACTCGCATTTTCATACACCTATTCTAGTGCTTTCCCCTTTATTCCTATATTATGTTATGACGAGAACTGATGTACTATAGCAGGCAACAGTATGAAAAACTGTTATTAGTATTTGTAAGAGTTAATATCATTTCTTAGATATCTGCCTTAATACCAAGAAATAACCAAGGCATGAAAGGGGAGAGACAAGTTCAGAGTCTACTAGTTATCAAATTCATATATAAACCCAGTGATATTTGAATATAATCTCTGTTTAGAAGATCACAATATTAAGTGGCTATAATTTGCCATTTTAAAAAACCTTCGGCAAAAATGAAAATAAACTCTTGATTTTCTGCACCAAACCATATTAGGCATTTAATACACTCTGGGTGATTGTAAAATATTTTACAATAGACCTATTTCTTAAGTGTTTTTAAATAGTATTGATCATGAAACTTTTTGAAATTTACCATCAGGCCAATGGTGGCAGAGTCTACATAGAACTATGCTTCGTGGTGTTCTGGGAAAAACCTTTCGGCTTGTTGGCTATACTATTCAGTATGGCTGTATAGCTCATTGTGCTTTTGAATACGTTGGTGGTGTTGTCATGGTAAGTTTTTACATTCAAGAAAATAATCATTTAAAATATGTTTTTTTTAAATTGAAGGAAGAGAGTGTTTGAATTGGCACTGATATAAAATATAAGAACTGTAACTTTAAATATGGTCCTGCATTGTTTCTTGCAGGGGCACAAAGGCCCTATTAATCTAATAATACTAGTTTTTACCATTTATTGAATGCTACTTACTGTGTTCCAGGATGTGTTTGATGTTTTACATTTATTAACTCATTTAATCTTTTACACTCTATGAGATACTTACTAGAAATCTATTATACACATGAGGAAACTGAGGCTCAGAAAGCTTAAGTAACTTTCTGCAGGTCCCACAATTCCAAGTAGACTTGGAATTTCAGCACAGATTTCTGATTTTCAAAGCCCCTACTTTTAACCACTGTAAAGAGTATCAATAACTGTCCTGAAAATAAATGATTATTCTGCCTTGTGTCAACATTAAAATGTTAAGGCTGTCCTCCTACCAATGCATTTTCTTAATATTGAATCATAAATCTATCAACCATGACAATACTAACCTTTTGTCATATAAATGAAAGAATAAATTGATTGATTGTTCAGTCAGTAAGTTTTGCTGTTGGTGTTGCTATTTTTATCAGGTTTACCCTAAGATATTCACAGTCATATAATCTCAAGTTGAGCTGGAGTAATGCAAATAAATATATTTAACTGAAACTCCCCTCTTTGATTTTTTTAAATTTACATTGGTATTTCCAGTAGGCTACAGAGTTAGCAAAAAACTTGCATTGTGGTCTTTGTTTTTTCTACCCAAGTAGGAAGTTTTGAGTAAAAAGTTTTATTTACATGTAGGTGGAGTGAATGGAGACTGTTGTGTTTAGATTTTTCAAGTTGCAATGATCATTTATTACAGTTTTGAGATATATATGAAGATTATTGTTTTACCTACTAATATGAAAATCTTTAAAGTACATCTCATTATGCCAATATTTTTCAGTAGAAAATATAAGTTGCAGCCCCATCAAATGAGTAAGCTGTTCTCTTGGAAGAAAAGGAAAGGCATCAACTCATTGAGAATAGTATGATACCACTTGGTAAATAACTGTCATGGGCACTGGATGATAGCTGACAGTAGCAAGAAAAAAAAATCATTAATTTATTCATTCAACAAGTATATATTGAGTATCAACCTTATGCCAAGCACTGTTCTTGACCTTGGTTACACAATTGGGAATATGAGAGACAAAGTCCCTGCCCTCATGATGCTTAAATTTTACAAGATGGCCAAAATTTGGAAACATAGATAATGTTATTTTATTTCTCTATTATAATATAATATTAACAAACCATTTTAAATATATTTTGCCTGTTTTTCCAGACTTGCTGGCTACTCTGTAGAGTTGAACTTATCTTGGAGCTTCCAGCTTATTATGAATCATCCTCCAAGCTTGAAGAACATTTGCTTGATTTTCTTTCTTTTAAGCCTACTCAGATGATTTATATTTTAAAAGGTTTTCAACTTAAAATTTAAAAATTGCCTTTCTTTCAGTGTTCTGGACCATCAATGGAGCCTACAATTCAAAATTCAGATATTGTTTTTGCAGAAAATCTTAGTCGACATTTTTATGGTATCCAAAGGTAAATTCTGCCACAGATATATTAAATAGATGGTGAAAACACACATACACATTGTCTTTTCTGCAGTTTCTTAACTTTATCTTTAAAAACTCTTTTGTAAATAACCAAATTAATGACCAACTGGATGAAATTTTGGCTCAAATTTTTTCTCTCAGTTTGAGAAATTTTAATAGTTTCTTTAAACATGCAGTTCCTTGTATCATTGTGCAAAGTAGATAGCAGTCCCTTTTATAATGTGCGTTCAAGCCTTCTTTCCTTTTTTTATTGGGCTGGGGTTGGGGGTGTGGGTTTGTCCTAGAATGTTTTGAATAAAGAACCAGGGACTTAGGAACTACATTACATATCCAAATCAGTGATTTGATTTTTTAATTTTTAAAATAATCCTGCATTTCTATTGATGACTGTCTTATTCTCTATAGTCTATGATGAGCAGTCGGTGATTTTTAGACTATAGCATTGTATATAGCTGGGAGCCAGGAATCTTATCTATTATGAGTCTCCTGACTAATTATATTAAGTTAAAAAACTCCTTGGGAAATATTGTTTGCCACTACATCTTTTAAAATCCTAGTCTAAATGGTGTTTCCAATCCTTGAGATACTGTTTATTCTACTTAACTCCCTGATTATTATTCCTTCTGAATGGATGTGAAGTATTAGTAATTTAGTGTATTTTCTAAAGGACACCACTTTGATTCCCTAAAATTTGGGGTCCATTAGTTTTTCATAATTCTGAAAAAATAGATCTGTATCACATTTCATCTTCATAAAATACAAATTTTACTCACTTGAGCTGGTATCTAGCTTATAACATAAGTAGGTTTAGGCATTCCTCTTTCATTATTGTCCTTTTTTACAGTCTACTTCACATTACTGAAAAATCACCAAGAATAGTGTAAAACTGTTCTTTGTGTTTACTCTTTCTTCCACTATCTTAGATTCTGTAAATAGAAACTCTCTCTTGCTCAAGCTGTATGGTCTAGCATGGTCTGTGGGTAATCCCTCAGATCTTTTATCCGTAACAACTTCAAGACAATACCTAATTGATAGATATGGGGTTATAAAATAAAACTTATATAACAGGTTATGTTCTAGCTTCCTTTTCCTTTTAACTTGTATCAAAATAACTTATTACAGTCTTTGGATTAACTGGAGACCTAGCTTCACTGCAACATGAAGACAAGCTTCTGTTTTCCATGCTAATCACATGATTTCACTCTCATAGTCCTTGAGCATCCTTAAGGAGCTGGACTCATTGGCTAAATAGTGTTTGAATGAACAGCTCAATATTGTCTTTTTTTTTGGATAGATACTCTTTGCATTCAGATGGTAATACAAATAACTATATTTAGTAAATTAATTAAGATTCTTTAGAGGTTTTATTTTGTATTCTGCTCCTTCAGGGGGCCCATCAGGTGGAAGGACAGTTCAAACTTTGGCATTTATAGGAGACATACCAAAGTAACTTTTACAGCCAAGGCAGTCAGTTGGTAACTCCTACTTTAAAAACATTAGTGTCCTGAGTATTTTTTTCTTTTATCTGTAGCACAGAACTCTTGAGATTTCAGGGGAATCTCTGACCCCTGGCAAGAGATCCTCTTGCTAGCTGTTTCTAAAGATAGAGTAGCCATTCATTTAGGGAAAATGAAAGTCTGCATCTCTGGTATCTAAAGCACATAGTTTTTCAGTCCAGTGGACCGAACTCTCATACTTGAGACAACCATAGTCTCTTATTACTACTTATTCTTTCAACAAATAGTTATTGAGCACCTCTCTTATAAGATGTGCTGCACCTGATAGAGAATGTTAGGCTTAGCAAGATACAAACCCTTGTTTTCAAAAGCTTACAATCTAGGAGGGGATAATAAGGATATTTATAAATGATACAGGAAAATTTCAGTCTTAGTTCTATTAAGTTTCTTTTAAAATCCTATTTGAAAGAGTTGAGAGTCCAAGGTTATATATTTTGATTTAAGCTCTGTGCCTATAATATCTGGTTAGACCACCAGAAATACAGTATACAGTAATGATGCTTTCTATTAAAACACCTTGACTGAATTATGATTTTTATGTTGCCATTCAAGTGCAGAGTTTGTTTTGAGGATCATATTGATTATTTTGTCAAAACACTTAAGCTGAGGGCTTCCCTGGTGGCGCAGTGGTTGAGAGTCGGCCTGCCGATGCAGGGGACACGGGTTCGTGCCCCGGTCTGGGAAGATCCCACATACCGCGGAGCGGCTGGGCCCGTGAGCCATGGCTGCTGACCCTACGCGTCCGGAGCCTGTGCTCCGCAACGGGAGAGGCCACAACAGTGAGAGGCCCGTGTACTGCAACAAACAAACAAACAAAAAAACACTTAAGCTGAATAAAACTCCCATGGAAAACATTTCTTTCCCCAAAGCTAGCCAAAATCAACTTTGTTAGTATGTTACTTAGGTTACAATATTTGCAAACTTATTCATCTGAACAGTTCCATTGACATGGTTCCAGATGGTTGGAAAGAGATACTTTATAACATTTTCAAATAAGTGTAAGCCTTATATTGCACTCCAAATTATAGAATTTAGTGTTTTAATAGCATTCAGCTCTTATCAAGAATAACCTCAAGAAATGACTGTTCTGAATACTGTTGCTGTATTTTCTGTAAAAGTTCTGGTGAAGATGGTATCTTTACTTTCCTTACATAAGTATCCTTCTTGTATATTCCTCTTTAACTTAGTTGTTAAGGAAAATTTTGTCATACCTCCCAAACTAAACTTTATTTTATTAGGTAATGATTGCCATGTAATTAATCATAATTTATTTTTTGACTTGACTACCAAAAGTTTTGAACTCGTAATACTTACATATAGCAATAACTAGGTTTCTGATTTAACCATCATCTTCCTTTTATTTTTGTGACTTTTGATAGTTTTGATATATGCATCTTTTATTACAAGCAACATCAAGTTATTTCCTGAACCTGGTACAGATAATAAGTAAATATATTAAATCCTTTTGATTGTGAGCAACAGAATTCACTTATTGCTCATTTCATGCAGAAAGAGCATTGTATTCTCTTTGGTTGAGGCATTAGTCATATTTTTTTATCTCCTTCCTTTCCAATTTTAGATATCTTCTTAGTCTTCTAATACACGTAGATTGTTATTTCTTCCATGAATCATGTCTTCCATATGTAATCATATCCATATTGGTTCTATATGTTTGATTTGCCAGTTTATTTTTTATAATATATGTTTGGACAGCTTTTAGCATTTTATTTGGCTGAGTCTTCTGATATTTTTTCTCAAATATATGTCTTTTTTGACTGTACTGTAAGCTATCCAGGTTATATAATTTATATGCTGCAATTCCTCAGTTCTTTAAGCTCTAGGGAAACACAGATGATGTTTCTACCTTTTTATGTGCTCTAGAGTCAATCAGTGCTACTGCTGGGCAGTCAAATTTGCTTGGTTAATTTGGTCATATTTACACAGAATTGTTTTTTCATAGTTTTGGTTCTAAAATTTGGACACAGAAGTAACACTGAGTGGGTATAGTGCAAGAAGATAATTCTCATGGAATTATCAGAAATTTTGGAATCTTCTAATAGCTTTTCCATCACTCTTATTGTTAGATTCTGACCCATAAAGTTAGTCACAAAGGTTCTCAAAGCTGGTAAATGTATGGGAGGGTCAGTATGTCAGAGGATAAAAGGTGTGGCTTTGTTTAAGTTGCTTTATAAAAGTATTGTATCAGTGCCATGCATGTGTTTATGTTAATAATAACACTGACATTTCTTTGACTTTTTCCCCTCAGAGGTGACATTGTGATTGCAAAAAGCCCAAGTGATCCAAAATCAAATATTTGTAAAAGAGTAATTGGTTTGGAAGGAGACAAAATTCTCAGCAATAGTCCATCAGGTTTCTTTAAAAGCCATAGTTATGTAAGTAACATTTCAATTATGTTATTCATTGGTATCATAGTTGATTAACATTAACTGAACACACTGACAAATGATTATAACTTTTCATATTTTGAATATAAGTTAGAATAATGCATTCATTAGAATTTAAGTATGTTTGTATCAAGAACAACTTGACCATTATAGTTTATATATTTTATTTCCTTTTAAAACCCTGTATAAACATTTCAGTATTAGTTGTTGCAGGCAAGATTCACCAATGAATGTCAACATAATGGGCAGACGTTTGAGGAAAAATAGTGTATTTGCATAGTCTCAAAGTATCTTTCCTGGGCTTCCCTGGTGGCGCAGTGGTTGAGAGTCGGCCTGCTGATGCAGGGGACACGGGTTCGTGTCCCGGTCTGGGAAGATCCCACATGCTGCGGAGCGGCTGGGCCCATGAGCCATGGCTGCTGAGCCTGCGCGTCTGGAGCCTGTGCTCCGCAACGGGAGAGGCCACAACAGTGAGAGGCCCGCATACGGGGAAAAAAAAAAGTATCTTTCCCAAGATATTTTTACAAAGGGAAAAACAGTAGCTTCGTAGAGGAGAAACCTGGCAGATACCACCTTAACTGAGTGATCAAGGTTAACTTTACCTGTAACAAGACGTCAACATAATGTGACCCCTGAATTCAAGGACTGAGAAGGGCACATCACTTTTGTGGTACTCTTGTAAAAAGAAGGTATAGCCTCATGAGAAAACATCAGACAAACCCTAACTGAGGGTCATTCTGCCACATAATTGACCAATACTCTTCAAAAATGTCAAGGTCTTTAAAAAACTGAAAGTCAGGAATTGTCATAGACTGGAGGAGACAAAGGAGACATGACAAGTAAATGCAATCTGGAATTCTGGCTTCGATTGTTTTTCCACTGACTTGTTAGTGGAAAATCTGGTAAAACCAAACACAGTCTTGTAGTTTAGTTTTTTAAAATCCTATTGAAATGTTTAGGATAGATATTTTGGTGTAGTCAGCTTGCCAACTCAGTTAGGAAGAAGAGCAAGAGCAGCAGAATGGAAGAGCGAAGAGCAGATGTAATGTGTGAGCCCCTTTCACCAGTCACATGGCTGCCGAGACAGCTTGTGGCAGGCGAGGGCAGCCTTCTGTTTACTCAGCATATACTCTTCTTACTTTAATTATAATTTAATTTTCTAATTTTGTTTAAATTTTCTGTGTCACTGTCTGATTATTAATAGAGCTGTTACATCTGTTAAGTAACTTTATCTTCGTCCCCCGTGTAAACATATAATTAAGAGTTAAATTGTCTTCATCCTTGTAAATTTATTTTGACCTACAATAGCATCTGATTGCCCTATAAGTTTGATCAGTAGACTATTAAGTAATCTATTATTTACCGTTCTTAATAGACTATGGTTCAGCTGTGCAAATGTTTATTACACTTTTGATGTTTATTACTACAGTGCTAAACATCCTAGGAATCCTTAGCTGATGGTGATAATGTTAACGTTGAGAATGTGGTATCAGGTAACCTATTTTTCTGTGGCCTTCATCATGGATACTTATCCTTTTATTTTTCAAAAATGTCACTTATTTACGTAATGGTTTCACCTTCACATGACTAATTATCATTTCTTGAGGCATTCTAGTCACTTCTAAGTTGCTTTAGCAACAAGCATATACTTCAGACCAGAAAGAGTTTTGTCAACAGAAAGAATAACAAAATATATAAATGATAGCATCTACTATCTGTGTACAGTGTGTGCACTGCTGTTGTTTTCTTTTTAAATTATTAGAGGAGGAATATTAGGATGAAAGGATTTAGATAAAATCTCTGCTAAGTAATCAGAGAAAATAACCAGAGGACTATAAGACGTACATTTTTTTGAATATTCTATTTAAAGAAGACACTCATCGAATTTTTATGTTTGTTGAGAGGATAAATTAGGGGACACTGCCATTTTGTTCCAGGTGTATTCTATTCACTTTGGTTTGCATGTTTATAAGTGTACAAACAATTGTAATAATATTGGCCAGCACTTAACTATGTACTTACTCTGTACCTGACACTGTTGAAACTCTTTCCAAGGGTTAATTTATTTAATCATCAAAACAGTAACCCAGTGAAGGTGGTAGTAGCATTTGACCGATGCGAAAGCTGAACAACAGGGAGGTTAAATAAATTGTCCAATTTCAAACAGTAAGAGAAACAGTTGGGATTCAAACACAGGTAGCCTGGCTCTGTCCATAATCTATATTCTTTACCACGCCACTACTTTTCATCCCAAAATATCCTCTACTTACTATTATTATTTCTACTCACATCTCATAAATGGTACTTCCCTTAAAATGTATTTGTCTTTATTACTTTTAAAAAGAAAGGCAACTGTTTCTGATCAGGGCCAGTATTAGTTCTGAAAGACAAGCCAGTGATTTTTGAAGGCTTCCCGGCTCCACCAGTTTCACTAGGCTGTGTTTTTTAAGCCATAAGAATTGTGTAGCTATTACAGAACCACTTTAGCAAATGTGTTCCATTAATCAAGGTGATTTATAACAAAAATTCATCCAAGTTTGGAGCACTGAAGAGATATCCAAACTGTTTGCATTCTGCCCCTCCAGAGTGTTCCCTTTTCCAGCTATCTCAGAAGCACACTGGTGCTGCATTCTATGAAAGGGGTTTCTTCCCCTTATCTGTGCATCCTTTCAGAAAAATCATTGTTGTTTATAGGTTATGAAGACATTACTATTCAGATCTTGATTGAGATGCATAATAAGGATGATATATATTAAATGTGTTTTGAATTTCAGGCAAAAAACATTTATTCTCCTAAGTAGGTGCTTCAGAAAGCAAAACACCAAAATTGTCATTTGGAACCTAGACCATAGAGTTTAGCATATGAAAGAAATAGCATTGTTTGTAAGTTGGCAAACAAGAATATAAACAGATCATTGGTTAAGTGATGTGAAACCATTTTATTCATTCCAGAGTTCTAAAAGTTCATGTGGCAAGCAGCACTTACCAAAGGTGATTTATTTTTTGCATTAAGCATTTGGAAGCTAAGCAGTCCCTATCAAGGTCCTATTGCAGTGGGTGTTGCTTATTTTCATGGTATTGAGGCCAGTAATTTTTTCCCTTGGGTTGTGGGCTGAGCATTGGCTACTAGGAAATGAGCTTAATTTGTGACTCTCAAAAGAAACAAATTGTACTCAGCTCAAACATCTTGAATAACTTGCCTTTCTATACTATAGGAATTCCTCAGTTTGCTGCTAGAAGCCACTAATTGGCCAAAAATAATTTAGTTGGAAGAAGCATTTAGCAGGTAGGAAATACATTAAATGAATGGGCATTCTCCTGTTGATCTGCACAGCAGGCGATTTAACATAGTCTCCATTCCCCTAGGGAATATAGGGCCAGGACTCAGGAAATACAGTAAAATTTTCTTAGAAAGCTAATCAAGAAACAATAACACTTTATAATCTTTCTCAGGATAACATTGTGTGATAGTTCAGGGCTGTGATTTTAATCCATAATGTAACTGTGGTATAGTTAGTCATTTTGGAATACAGTAAATTCCTATCAGCAAACAAACATGCTATAAAATCTCCCATCTAAACAAACAAACTCCTTTGGCACCACATCCTCCTATAGGAAAGAGTCGTGCATACTTACTGACTCAACTCTGAACTTTATACTCTCTTTTGAACTCATTCCACTTAGACTTTGGTCCCCAGCACTTTACTGAAAAGGTTCTTGTTAAGAGCCACAGATGACTTCTCTGTTGCTGATCCAGTGGTCAGCTTTCAGTCCTCGTTTTACTTGACCTATTGTTAGTATTTGAAGTAGTTGTTCTCAAAGCCTGGTTTCACTGAGTTTTGGGGATGCCGCTCTCTTTAGGTTTTCTTCCTCTCTTCCTGCTTCTTCTGAGTGTCCTTTGTTGGTTCCTCCAAATATTGGAGTAACTCAGGGTTTGTATTTTAAACTTCTTTTGTTTATATACGTGCACTTAAGGTGACCTCTTCCTGTCTCATGGTTTTAAATACTATCTAACTCAAGACCTAAATTTATATCAACCACAGCTTCTTTCCTGAACTCCAGAATCATATATCTGATAGTCTGTTTAATATCTCCACCTTAGTATATAATGTTCACCTTGAACTTAATATGTCCAAGACTAAACTGATTTTCCTTCCAAAACTGGCTTGTCCCACATGTATTTCCCAATCACGGTAAAGGCGCCTCCATTCTTCTGCTCACTCAGGTCATAAACCTTGGAGTCATCCTTGCCTCTCTTCCTCTTTCACCCTCCCATCCAGTCCACTAGCAAATCATGATGACTATATCTTGTAAATATAATCAGAATTAAATGACATCTTGCCCCCATCACTGCTACCATCCTGGTGCAAGACAAATTCATCTCACTCTTGTTTTCTTGCAGTAACTTCTGAACTTCTCTCTGAGCTTATACCTTTCCCATCTTCTTGCCTCCTTACCCCTCTACTGACTACTCTTCACACAGTAGCTGAAATGATCCTTTTTAATAATGATGCTTTTTCATAAAAATAATGTTACTCTTCTACCCAAAGAGCTCAGTGGCCTCCCATCTCATAATTAAAGCTATGGTCCTTTTGATGGCCTACTGGACCCTACACTCTTCCTGCTGCCTGTTCTTGTAATTAAAGTTTCATTGGAACATGGCCACACTCATTCATTTACATATTGTATGTGACTGCTTTCAGTAAAACAGCAGAGTTGAGTCATTGTAACAGAGACTCTATGGTCTGCAAAGCTTAGCTATTTACTCTCTGGCCTTTTACAGAAAAAGTTTGCTGACCCTTGCTCTACAATGTAAGGTTCTTAATGGCAGAGATTTGTTTTGATCTCAGCTGATTCCCCAACACCTAAACTTTTATTTGGCATCTAGTAGATACTTTAAAAGTACTTGAAGGGTGGACAAATGGATATATGACTAGAGTCTGACAGTGTTTTATTTTAGTTTCTATTCTACTCAGTTTCTTCTAGTT